GTTTTATGACTTGCAGGCTTAGAGAGCTGCCTGGGAAACAGAGTAGTTAAGAGATATTGCAGGGAAAGCCTGATTAAGGATGGTCTGGTGCTTCAGTTTCAGAATGAGAACAAAATAAACCATTAATAGACCATCTAAAAGTCAAGATAAGGAAGTTTACTTAGCCATAGCCTGGAAGGGATTTTCAGCAAGGATACAGCATTGATTCAGCTGGGCACAGTTTCTCTTCTGTGTCAGACATGCTGGCACAATTGTCAAGCCTGAATGAAGTTACCCCTGCCACTCCATGGGCTCACTTTTGTACTCAAGCTACCAGGAAGCTACACGATTAACATAGTCTCCTAAGTCAACTGACAGCATCTGCATCACCTTTTAAGGAAAAATTAGCTTAGTTTTATATGGCAGATATTGTTCCTACCACAAGTGATTTATACCAGGTCACACAGATAACACATGTTAGAGATGGCAGTTGGATTCTATCCATTATGCTTCTTTGCCTCTCTTCAGTAAAATAACAGGATTTTATTGCATTGTATGTTTAAAATGTTAACAGTCAAAAATACTACCTTGAAATTCTTAATTTTAACATTTTGAAAATGCAAAAATATAACATTTATATTATAATATAAAGCTTTCATGATAATTAAGTACTACTAAAAATAATCACTATCATTTATATAGCACCTTAAGGTTTGCAAAGGATTTTTACATATATTATCTCATTTGATCCTCACAGAAATCCTGGGAGGTAGGCACTATTGTTATCCTCACTTTACAGATGAGAAAACTGAAAGTCATACAGCCAGTTAAATTTCTTTAACAAAATTTGAACTCAGATCTTCCTGCTCTATCCATTGTGTCATCTTACTTGCCATTCTTAAATCTGAAGATCTCAGTGGTAACATAAAATCACACAAATTATAAAAAAATTTCTTAAAACAAACAACATATTTTAAAATATAATACAGGGGGATCATAGAAGATGGTGGAGTAAAAGCAGTGACTTGCTTGAGCTCTCCCCCAAAACCCCTCCAAATACCTGTAAAAAATGTTTCTAAACAAATTCTAAAGCAGCAGAACTCACAAAAAGACAGAGTGAAACAAATTTCCAGCCCAAGACAACTTGGAAGGTCAACAGGAAAGGTCTGTTGCCTGGAGCAGGCCTCAGGGGACTGAATCACTAGCAGCTGTAGCAGTTTCCAGACTTCTCAACCTACAAATGCCAAAGACAACTTAGAAGGTCAATAGGAAAGGTCTATTGGACCCCGGTAAGAGATGAATGCATTCCAGCCCCAGGACTGGCATAGCCCCAGGGCGATGGCTACTTCCAGAGCTCTTGACCCACAGATGGTGGGGGAATCGAGCAGCTGATTAGAGGGGGACTGCAGGGATCTCTTTGCTGGTGCTGAGGCAGGATTCTCTTGCTTTGCCCATGCTTGGATCTAGGTTACAGTTCTAGGTGGTGGTCCTGGGGCAAGGAAGAATGCTGGTGTGGTAGAGCTTGTGGTGGCAGTGCAGAGAAAATCCGCCTCACAGTTCCCAGGCAGAAAAGAGTGCTTGTGGTCACTCACACACCACAGCATAGGCCAGGGAAAGCAGTAAACACTTTGCCCTTGATCGTGCTACCTTGGAAGAACTGAAAACTTATAGGTCCCTAGAAGTATCTCTGAAAACAGTTGCACAAACCCCTGAAGCTTGAACAGTACATCCTCCACACTGGAAGCAGACCTCTACCTTAACAAAGAGTTTATAACTCGAGCAATTGGCTGGGATCATGAGCAAACAGTCCAAAAAACTCAGACCATAGAATCTTACTTTGGTGACAAAGAAAATCAAAATATACAACCAGAAGAAGACAACAAAGTCAAAAAAGCTCCTATATCCAGAGCCTACAAGAAAAACATGAATTGGTCCCAGGCCATTGAAGAGCTCAAAAAGGATTTTAAGAAGCTAGTAAGAGAAGTAGAGGAAAAACTGGGAAGAGAAATGAGAGTGATGCAAGAAAATCATGAAAAAACAAGTCAACAGCTTGCCAAAGGAGACCCAAAAAAAAAATACTGAAGAAAATAACACCTTAAAAACAGCCTAACCCAAATGGCAAAAGAGGTCCAAAAAGCCAATGAGGAGAAGAATGCCTTAAAAAGCAAAACTGGACAAACAGAAAAGGAAGTCCAAAAGCTCAATGAAGAAAACAATTCCTTAAAAATTAGAATAGATCAAATGGAAGCTAATGACTTCATGAGAAATCAAGACATTATAAAATAAAACCAAAAGAATGAAAAAATAGAAGACAATGTAAAATATCGCACTGGAAAATAGATCCAGGTGAGAAAATTTAAAAATTATTGGACTACCTGAAAGCTATGATCAAAAAAAGAGCCTAGATATCATCTTTCAAGAAATTATCAAGGAAATCTTCCCTGATATTCTAAAACCAGAGGGTAAAATAGGAATGGAAAGAATCCACCCATCACTTCCTGAAGGAGATTCCCCAAAGGAAAACTCCTAGGAGTATTATAGCCAAATTCCAGAATTCCCAGGTCAAGGAGAAAATATTGCAAGCAGCTACAATTCAAGTATTATGGAAATACAATCAGGATAACACAAGATTTAGTAGCTTCTACATTAAGGGACTGGAAGGCTTGGAATATGATATTCCGGAGGTCAAAGGAACTAGGATTACAACCAAGAATCACCTACCCAGGGGCAGCAAGGTGGGGAAGTGGATAGAGCACTGGCCCTGAAGTCAGGAGGACCTGAGTTCAAATTTGGCCTCAGACCAAACACTTGATACTTACTAGCTGTGTCACTTAATCTCAATTGCCAAAAAAAAAAAATCACCTACCCAGCAAAACTGAGTATAATCCTTCAGGGGGGAAAATGGATATTCAGTGAAATAGAGGATTTTCAAGTCTTCTTGATGAAAAGACCAGAGCTGAATGGAAAGTGTGACTTCCAAATACAAGACTCAAGAGAAGCATAAAAGGGTAAACAGGAAAGAGAAATCATAAGGGACTTATTTAAGTTGAACTGTTTACATTCCTACGTGGAAAGATGATATTTGTACCTCATGAGAACTTTCTCAGTATTAGGATAATTGGAAGGCGGGGAAATATAGATAGATAGATAGATAGATAGATAGATAGATAGATAGATAGATAGATAGACAGACAGACAGAGAGATAGACAGACAGACAGATGAGTGAATAAATACAATAAAAAAATAAATAAATTGAAATAAGAAAATAAAAAGGGGGATCATAGTAGCAAAAAAATAAAATATACTATCAACTTCTAAGGCTAAAAAGCAACAAAAAACGCACTCCACTTTGTACGACAGATTTCATTTTTTAACTTCCTTTTTAGCAAGAACAATGAAATCTGACTTTGGGTGTTTTGTCCAAAAGTAAAGCAAGTCTGTGATAAAACTTGAAAGAGGGTCAGAGCAAGGTGCTGGAGTTCTGATTTCACTGGTGTGGGGGCTGCCAGGGGAAAAAAGACCCTCTACCAATGCAAGTTGGTAGCCTCTCTGCAGCTTGGAGCCTCAGAGTACGACCTAGATCACTGAGGAGCTAAATGAACAGTGTGGCTCACATATCTGACTTGAACCTGAATCCTCCTCTAAACCACACTTCTCTCAAAACTGGAAATAAATCAGTTTGGAAGCTATCCTAAACTCAAATCGGGCATTCTTACCACCACACTGTTAAATACTGTGTGTGGGAGGCGGGGGAGGGAACATGTTCTGTTCACTAGGTTAAACAAAAAGGAATTCAAATATTTTTACTAGATTTCTTGTCAAAGGGGTGCTCTAGACTGTGAACAACATATTTGCCCTGAATGGCAGATCAAAGGGAATATGGATAATGGCAATGTATATTAGCAGCGCAGGTAAAGGGATTTCCCTTAGAAATGAGGACCTGTCAACATACATTGTAAGGCATTTTGGGTGGTGGAAAAAGGTAGTAGTAGGTGGCATATTTAAGGAGAAAGATGGACTGATAGATACTCAAGCTGACTGCAATGTTGTTTCCTCTGACCTTATATATCTAGCCACCAGAGAAGGACTTCACTACATTGTCAAGGCTCCCCAGAGAATTTCCTTTATGCCTGATTATTTCAGTATTTTCTCTAGTGGGCTAACTGATAGGAATAAGATACAAATAAAATATATGATATGTATCTGCTCTGGTCGATAAAGTGTTTATTGCATGTAAGAGGACAGCAGGGTAAACACACACACACACACACACACACACACACACACACACATAACTGAATCCATAAAAAGTCATTCTTGTTGTGGATATTGCAGTAAGGCATACTAAGTTTTACTGGACAAATACCAAAAATACAAAGAAAAGTGCATTTTCAGAATTTATGATAAATCACATTGTACACTATCCTCCAAAGAAGACCAAATCATGAGAAGTCCACAAAGGGACATTCTTAAAGGTACAAGAAAGAAGCCAGCTACTTTCCTAGTTGGAAGGGTAAGAATCCTGAATTCAAATCTTAGCTCTGCCCTTGACATATGTGTGTCTATGTGTATGTATATATGGCTATGTTATGTATCATATATAACTATATTAGTCCTACACTTAACCAGTGTCTCCCAAAGAAAATTTGGGAGTACTTTGAAATAAGAACATTAATAGCTCCACACTAATGTAAAGTATTAGTAGGAATGAATAAGATAACATTCACAACCTATGCGGCAGGAATTACAAAGTCTCAACTTTTTAGGGTGTCTTTCTAAAAGGCAGCAGGTATAACACGCTTTTGGAATTTCAAACTGGAAAGAGAACAAGCAGCCTCTGAAAAACTATTCTCTTCAAAGGAACTTACATTAAAAAAGAGCAGGGAGACCTATGCTTATACCAAAGAAGTGAACAAGACAAAAATAAGTGTAACATGGAATTATCTCAAGCACAATGTATTAGTAAATATTTTAATTGGTTTCTCTATTTTAAGTAAACATGACAATTATTAACACTTACTTGTGCATATTTTCAACTCCTATTATGATCATGATAGAGTATGAAATTCCACTTTGTACAAGAAAATGTAAGGCATACCTATGAAAAAAAAATAACTGTTAGAAGAGCAAAGTTAACATTCAAAAACATCAACCATCTAGTCTGCAACTAAAAATAATAGGGTCAGTTATTTATTCAGGAATTACTATTACATGGCAGAAAACAAATTCTAATAAAACATATGTATACATGATATTTTCTTATATGAACACACATCACTGATAATTCTACTCAAATTAATTTTGCTAGTCCTATCTTTACTGATAGCAAATAAAGTAATGTCTCAATCACACAAGAAACACTTATCTAATTAAGTTTTAAAAAAGCAATAATGTTTGAGTCTTATCTTTTGAAAGTAGTACTCATAAAATGACATAAAAGTGATTAATATCAGAAACATGTAAAACATTAGGAGAATTCAAGTCCTCTACTTATTCTTGGACTATAAAAGCTAAAGTCAGGTTAAGCTTCCCTAAATTTCTGGTCTATTCGATTCTTAAAATTCACTGCCTTCTATTAACAAAGGTTCTAATTAAGATGGTATGGCTTTTTCTGAAGTAGGCATATACAACTGAGACTATGAATTCATTTGATAAGTACCATATAGGTATATAATTAAGAATTCTTCTGCTTAAATAAAGACTGTTCTTCCACTATAAATGTATGTGAGGAGGGGATAATGAAAAGAGTTTCCCCTATGAGATTAATGAGAAGAGGAAGGGGATGGGGTGGAATGAGAGGATGAGGAGGGCAGAGAAAGGGGTAAGGAGAAAGAGGATATGGAAGAGGGAAAGAGAAAAGAAGGGAAGGGGAAAGAGGGACAAAGAGGAAGATAAAAGGGTAAAGGAGGAAGGAGACGAAAAGAGGGAAAAGGAGAGAGGATGAGAAGAGAGCTGAAAAAGTGAGGGGAGAGGAAAAAAGGTGAGGAGGGTGGAGAGAGCGGAAAGGGGAAAGATGCAAGAGCAGGGAGATTTCTGCCTCTCCCCACCAGAAGACCAATTGTTGCCTTTCATCAGAAGGGCACAGTAAGCTTCAAGCTCCTCTGAGTCTTCCCAACCACAACTTGAGAAGTGGATGTAGTTTCCTATCCCAAAAGAAGGTGGCTGCATCTGGAGAGCGACAGAATATCAAGAGTGCCTACAGATATCCATGAGATGTAGACACATGCTTCCCCTCTTATGTCCTGAGCAATATACATGAACCCCACTCTCCTGAGGGCAAGGGAAGTGGGTGGGTGGGTGGGAAAGGAGGGGTTGGCCTTGGGAAGGAAAAGGCTACCTCTTCAAAGACTGGAAAAAAGGAGAAGAGAATGGAGGATGATGCGTAACCTCCATCTGTTTCAATTTCCTCAACTGTAAAATGGAGATAATAAGAACACTTACCTTCCACTTGTGAGGATCACAATAGCTCTATAGCACTTGACACAGTGCCTAAAACAGAGCAGGTGCTTAATAAATATGTATTCCCTTCCCTTATCCTAAGTGACAGAGGCAAAATTTGAATCCAGGTCCTTTGGCTCTAGAGCCAGCACTCTTTCCACTAAACCACATTTTCTCATATCAGTTACATTTTCAAAAACATTCTTTGTAGTGAATAAGTCAAATCAATAAATATTTATTCAATGCCTACTATCTACCAGGCACCGTTCTAAGCACTAGTGATACGAAGAAAGGCAAAAAACAGTTTCTGCTCACTCATTAAACTGAATGTCAATTTTTTATGTCGACTCCCTAATATGTTCTCTAAGTCATAGGATTCAGAATTAGTATAAGAAGAGAAACTACAGCCAAGAGGGCAAACTGCTGCACAGAAATCATTTAGGATAAAGATTTCCTCCCTTCTAAAGCTGTAACTGCTTGGGTAAAGAGCCTATGAATGTAGCTAAACTTTTAATGGTCTCTAACCAATTTGCTGACTACAAAAAGGAGGCAGAAACATATAACCTAAATATTAAAATGAAACTCGTCTAGATAGAGTAGAATCCTTAGTGTTTTGTTGAATACAAGAACAATTTTGGAGGGAATTTTTTTTTACATTATACAGATGAACTATTTCTAAATGCATAATGATGATGGTGGTAACAATGACACGAAAAGCCCAGTGTGTTAGAAAACAAAAACAGGCTAAAGATTCCAAGATGTCAAGGTGCTACCAAAGACAAATATAATAAAACTCAGGAACTGAGCACATACCACTGGAAGGAATATCCACATTAACAGAATTGTGATCTTATCAAAATATTGAATTAGATTCGAGACACTGTGCAAGGCTCTGGGAATACAAAAATCAAATATTATAGTCTGTGGCTTCATAGAGTATGCAGCCTGGGCTAGGGGTGAAGGGGAGAACTGCTAAGTATAATACAAGGTAGCAAGTGATAAAGAAAAAGGAGAAATTTACACTGTCTCCAGTTAAATTTAAAAAAGAAAAAATATGTAACCCTAGGGACAGTGGGACTTGAAAGCAGGCTACAAGGAGGCAGCAGCACCTGAACTCTGCCAAGGATTCTGAAAGGTAGAGATAAGGAGGGAATGCATTCTAGGCATGGGGAACAGCCAACCTCAGTGAATCTGGAAAGTTGGAAGATGGAATGTTAAATTTAGGTAGCGGCTATTAATCTAGTTTGGCTAGAAGAAACAACATACAAAGGAGGGAAGCAATGTGATACAGGGCTATTAAATTAGATTGTAGCCAAACAAAAAAGAGGTGAGCCTTAAATGCAAATTCTTTAAAAGCTGTTGCAAAAAATAAAAGTCATTACCTGCCTAGTAGCTAATCGTCTGATGATGACACTTTTCAGAAAAAAAAAGTTATCTAAATTTTAAATAGCAGTAAAGAAAACAAAATAATCCTAGAAGAATATGGCTGACAGAAATTCAATACCCCCTAAGAATGCATCATTCCAAGAAAGTGTATCAGAAATTAAACTGAAGTGGTCTGAGGAAAGTCAGAGAACAAACAAAATTTAAATACTTAAGTGGCTCAAAACACAATCACTCTCAAAGAATAATAGCTATTTACTATCCACACTGATTAATCTTCAACAAAATATTCACACACAAATATTAAAACAGTACAGAAAAAAAAAAGTAGCGGTTATCATTGTTAGGTAGAATATTGGGCTTCAACTACACCTGAAAATGATACAGTAGAAACTGGGCTATCAAGATATAGATCAAGCTGGGGATTTTTTCATCTCAGAGAATTCTCATGTCAAACAGTCCATTCAATAGGGGACATATAATTCTATGTCTACAGTAATTAACAGAATAATAAAACATCAAATCAGCTTGAAGTTCTTAGAAAACTCACTACAGAGCACTGTATCAAAATTTATGGACTTTATGGATACTGCCAGAGATGAATTTTTTAAAATTTAATTTTCGGTTTTGGGTTTTTTTTAAAGGCAATTAGGGTTAAGTGACTTGCCCAGGGTCACACAGCTAGTTAAGTGTCAAGTGTTTGGTCTGAGGCTGCATTTGAACTCACGTCCTCCTGACTTCAGGGCCAGTACTCTAACCACTGCGCCACCTAGCTGCCCCCAGAGATGAATTAACGTACCAAAGTATTTTGTAATTTTAGTCATAATCCTGTTCATGTGGCAACAACTTCAACATCTTCCATCTAAAGAGAGATTATGTACACTGCTACTCTGCTAATAATACCCTTTCTGAATTTGAGAGTGCTCTAGTCAGTGGCAGAAGTATCATATTAATGATCATTTCTATGGTTGCCTGTGAAAAGGCATCCCTTACAACAAAAGCTTTAAGTAGTGAGAGAATAAAGAAAACAAAACCTAGAGGGAGCAGAAATATCTTTTTATTTATTTTTCAAAATGCTTTCTTTGGAAGCTAAGAAGACTCTCAGAAAAAGCAAAACAGCACAATCAAAAAGACTTAACAATACCATTTTAAAATCCTTTTGGCCACCAACTATACCAAAAATTCATGCAGCAGAAATTTGATTTGATGCAAATGTTACATAAAAAGAAAAAAAAGCCCAATTACAATGGAAAATTTACATCTTTTATAACCTGTATTTTTTCTGTTCTTTCTCAAAACTTTTCAGAATTTAAAAACTCATAAGACTGAGTTTCAAGATTATATAGTAAAAAGGAACCTTTCCAACTCTTAAGCCTGCCACAACAAATCTGACAAACACAAGACACTGTACTTTTTCCATTTATTTATAACTATTAATATCAAGTAAGGCATAAAGGAACGAGATATATGCTTGCCAAAAGGGTTCACTGCCATTATAAAGGATGGAGTCCAAATCAAAGAGGGATTCTTAACCTAAAAATCTGCTTTTTTAAAACAAACATTTTGATAACTGTATTTCAATATAATGTTTCCTTTTGTGATCTTATGTATTTTATTTTATACATTTAAAAATATTCTGAGAAGGGGTCCATTAGGTTTCATTATACTCGCAGGAATCCATAACACAAAAAAGTGTTAAGAACCCTGATCTATATCTATAGATTGTGAGGTCCTCCAAATGCTTCTGTTTACAGATGGCATTGTGACAATTACATTAAAACCCAGACTATTTCAGAAACTTCTAAGTGAACTCTATAATCATTTTCATAAGTGCTACCTAACTAGTCACACAAGAAAAACTAAGTTAATGAAGAATGCCTATGTTTAGACTATGATATACAGAAAGACATAGAACGCTCATTAGCACTTTCATTATTACTTTAAAGAGAAAATTTGCTTGGCCCAGAATTGAGCAAGAGGAGAAAGATGGGGTTGGAATACTTTTTGGAAATTGTACAATTTTTAAGGACTCCGATTCTCTCCCTAAAATGAAAGCCTATCTTTTTAACACCACTATTATTCTGGTGATGCTTTATAAGTAGCTGAACACTGTTGATACTAAACAATCTCTAAAAAATTCAAGTTGAAGATCACCTAAAAATCAATGGATAGGTACATAGTGGACATGATTAGAGTTGCAAAACACTATAAATAAATAATTAAATAAAAGAAATAGTATGGAGGATGTTATCTGACAAATAACCAGAAAAAAAGGATGGCTCAATTACTTAGTGAGAGTGACAGGTAGCCTGTATAATCTGGAATGCCTGCTCCATAGGTAACAACCTCTTAATTTATCTTAAACATTTCTTTTTTTCCACTCCCTCCATCTTCTTGAACTGAGACGTTGCTTCTCCCTGATGACATGGCTTTCATGGCTTCCCTTTCTAACTGTTCTAATTGTATCTTCACTCGTTCACCCAGACTCACTGGTTGTGGTAAGAGAGGTTGGATTACTCCTTGCTCCCCATTGTTATTTCCAGGCTCTCTCCTCTATCACTACCACTCAGTCACCTCTTCCCCTTTGAAATTTATTCAATAAAGATTTATCACTCTAACAAGATTCTATGGAATTCTAGGACACTCTCCTTCCTGCCTCAAAGAGTTCAGTGCCTGGTTCACCTTCTTTTCTCCTCCTCAATTCCTGCCCTCATACTATAGATCTTCAAATACATACTGATGCTCTCTCAAATACCTTTACTCCCCACCCCATTCCTCAACTTATTCATTTCCCATGACCTGTATTCCTCCACTCCCCCACAGCTACTCAGAGATAGTCATACCCTTGATCTTGCCATCAACCACAAGTGTTCTACATCCATGTTCATAAACTTTTAAATTCCTTTATCTATTTATTATGTTGTTATTCCACCTTTCCTTTGCCTTGAAACTCCAAACCTTGTGTTCTTCATCCTGACCGCGGCCTCCAATCCTTCCATCTTTCTGTTCTTTCCAAGGCCATCACGCTTGCAATACCTACATTCTTTTCTCTTCCCCATCTTGACCCCCCTGAGAACCAGTTCAACTCTGCAATGTCATCTTCTTTCAAGTCCATCTACTGCCACTGTACCTACTCATAAGCAGCTGAACAATGCTGGAGAAAATCACTAAACTGTGCTGCCTGGGTACATGACAAACTCATGCAACATAATGTTAGCTCAGTCTCTGTGGCAAGGCAATCCTTTTTACACCTTCTTAATCAATTCACTATCCCACTCAGCTCAATGGTTTTTTTCTTTGCCTCATTTTAACTGAAAAAAAAATGAGGCCATTTGCTGTGAGTTCCTTCTTCTTCCTTGTTCTTCATCTCACATCACTGAGATGCTTTCTGCCACTATCTCTTCCTTCACTCCTATTTCATAAAAAGCCTTTCTCCTCACCAAGGCAAACTCCTCTACATGCATAAGTGGTCCCATTCCATCCTGTCTTCTCCAGTCGATTGAGCCTTCTTTTATCCCGAACTCTCTCATGTCTATTGGCTGCTTCCCTACTATCTACAAATATTCCAATGTCTCCCCCAACTTTAAAAAACTCTCACTTGATCCATCCATCCCCACTAGCTATTGCTCTATGTGTCTCTTCCCTTTTGTGGCCAAACTGTGAGGAGGCTGTCTACAATCAATGTCTCCACTTCTTTTCTTCTCATTTTCTTCTTCACTCTTTTGCATCTGGCTTCTAATATCATTCCACTGAAACTGGCTTTCTAAAGTTATTAATGATCTCTTCATTGCCAGATCTAACGGCCTTTTCTTAATCCTTATCCTATTGAACTCTCTGCAGCTCTTGAAACTACTGATCACCCTCTTTTCTTTTATGTTCTTTCCTCTCCAAGTTTTTGTGGCACTGCTTTCCCCTGCTTCTCCTACCTATCTCACTGCTTTGCTCAATCTTTATCCACATCACACCTACTAAGAGTAGGAGTCCTACGGGGCTCTGTCCTGGACCCTCTTCTCTTTTCTCCCTCTACACTTTTTCACTTGGTAATGTATCAGCTGCCATGGTTTCACAATTGTTATCTGTACACAAATGATTCTCATATCTACTTCTCTAATTCTAACTTCTCTCCCAACCTCCAATTTCACATCTCAACTGCCTTTTAGATATCTCAAAGATGTGACAGATACATCTTAAATTCAACATGCCCCAAACTGAACTTATTATCTTCTCTCCCACCTACCTCCCCAAAAGAACCTCTTCCTAACTCTCCTTTTTCTATAAAGGATATCTCATCCTCCCAATCACCTAGTCACAACCTAGATGCCATTACCAACTCCTCACTTTTGCTCACCAACCATGTCCAATCAGTTGCCAAGTCCTGTCGATTCTACCATTGTAACATTTCTCATATATATTTTCTCTTTTCTTCTCTGACACTGCCATTACCCCTTTTCAGGGCTTCATTAACCCTAGCCTGGACTATCGTTACAGACCAATGGCTGGCCTCCCCATCTATCCCCTACTCAGCTGCCAAACTGATCTTCAGACGTAGCCTTAACCATTTCACTTCCTTATTTAATAAACTCCAGTGGTTCCCTATTATCCCCAGGATCAAACACAAAATATTCTGTCTGGCTATCAAATCCCTTCAAAACCTGGTCCCCTCCTACCTTCCCATTCTTCTGACACCTAACTCCCCTCATCCACTTACTGTGCAATTCAGTGACACTGACCTCCTCATTCTCCCAAGCACATGACACTCTCATCTCCCAGTCTGACCTTTTTCACTGGTTTTCCCTCATACCTGGAATTCTCTCCTGCCTCATCTCTGCCTCCTGGCTTCCTTCAAGTCTCAGCTAAAGTCCCCATCTTATGGTAGAAGCTTTCCCCAGTCCTCCTTTATTTTAATGCCTATCCTCTGAGATTGCCCCTAATTTATTCTGTACACATCTTATTTGTTGGTTAGATGTGGTCTCCCCTATTAGACTGTAAGATCCTTGAGATCAGAGACTTTTCCCCCTTTGTTTGTATCCTCAAAGCTTAACACAGTGCCTCGCATAGAGTAAATATTTAATAAGTACTAGCTGACTGACTCCACTGTCATCTATGCAATGTCAAAAGAACAGGAGAATAGCATGAGAGTTGAATCCCTCATGGAGAACATATGGGAGGACACAGATAAGAGAGGAAAACATGGGGTAGTTTTGATCTATACTGTGGAAGGAATAACCACAACAGTGAGATCACAAATCCACGGACTACTACTATATTTCTCACTTTAATAAAATTTTAAAACAAAATATATAAGCTGATTAATAGGAAAAAACTATATAAGAGAGGAATTAATACTCCAACAGACTACCACTTTTGTTGTTTAAAATACATTAATTACTGTAACTACATACTGACAGTATTATCAGAACACTCAAAAAAATGTATTTCCATTTAAAATGATCAAAATAGCTACTTACCATCCAAAGCAAAAAAGTGAAAGATAAAGGCCCAAAAGGGTGGCAACAACATGTCTTATAAAAGAGCTAGTTTTGCTTGAATGTAGATAAGTTCGAAACCAAACAGCTGCTAGCAAGGCAAAGAGTTGGCACACTACAAAGTTGACCTGTAGAAAAGAATACATATAATACTAATGTTAGCAACATAAATCTGTGTTAATTTCATAACACATTTAAAAACTTCATGATGGAAACACAGAAAGTTGAGTTAACTAAGAAAATAACAGTTTTTAGTTCTGAGGCAGCAAAAACCACATATCCTCAGATAACAGACAATAAGCAAAACTGGGCTCTGTGGTATTCCCATAGACTGTTTTGTGAGTCAAAAGTATGCCTAAGAATGCTTAAATTGTGATTTCATTCTGAAATTTGTTTTCAATCATTAGTATATGAACCAAGTTCATTAGTTTTTTCAACGTATATTAGTAATTAGACTTCTTGATCTTCAGAAATAAATATGTATGTATGTTAATAGCATAAATTCCTGAAGTATTGAAGTCATCAATACAGGGGCCTTCCCACCACTGATTTAGTGCACAACCATTCTTCAATTTTAGATGATCTTTGAGAGCTAAAAAATTCATCTCTCTGCAGCCAACCTGGTGGTGATAAGCCCCTCAATCTGTCTTGTCTGATGGGCTTCTACTAGACTATATCATAACAAAAGAGGGAAAAAGAGAGTCGTGTTCTGGGTGGTCACAAGACTAATATGTAAATTTACTTTCTCCCTTTGGGCTATATGTATCACTATATATGTATTATTTCTAAATGGAATAAAAATTTAGAATGACACTAATTTTCCTTTTCTAAAAAATATTTAAAAATACCTATTGCAAAATGCTCATAAGCAGATGAAAATGGTTTTAGCAAGAAAAACATTACTTATTCTTTTTTTGTGTCAACCAAAGGCACATTTTAAATTTGCCACCAATAACTGCTGAGGCTAGAAAGAAGCAACAAGGTAAGGGAGAAGACAAGATAAGCTGATTTAAAAACAGCATTCTCAAGAACAGGAGTTCTTAACCTAGGGGTCTATGAACTTTTAAAAATAGTCTGATAACTGTATTTCAATATAATTGTTTTCCTTAATCTTCTGTATTTTATTTTATTCATTTTAAACCGTTATTATGAGAAGGGGTTAATAGGTTTCACCAGACTGTTAAAGGGGTCCAAGACACAAAAAAAGTTAAGAATCTCTGCCCTTGAGCTACCCTTGAGCTTAAGGTACCAGAATGAATTACAAAGATAGATACATCTAGGTGTCTGAATGGCATCTGACAAAATCTCTTGCAATATTCTTGCAGACAAGAGAATATACTGGGTGAATAACCAGAGCCAAGGAACATTAGACACATATGATCAGAGATATCAATTCCTGAGTGATTATTTCATTCTTTGTGTTTGTATCCCCACTACCTAGCACTCAGTGCCTAGCACAGAGTGGACACTTAAGAAATTGTTTGTTGATTGACTAAGTGAATATGAATCCAATGGCTAAAAACAGTTAAGTTATTTAAGGTGTTATAAATGACTATAGTTCCAGAAGGTATGTAAATAGAAAAAAAAGGTCTAGCAACCTGATTTGTACTGTTACTCCCTGAGGTACTTGTCAGTTGTATATTATGAATGCAAAATGACCTGCTTGGGGAAAAGGGTGAAAGGTTTGTGATAAATATCTCTCCATATACTAGAAAATATAAGATTTTAGATCTAAGGAGAATGTTAGACATAGGCAAGGAAGATTAAAAGAAACATATTTTGAGTAAAAAGACTCAAAATCAATGTCAAGAAGACATCAAATGGAAATCATGAAACAATGTGACAGAAAATAAGAAAGGAAGGATTAAAAATCCTCAGAATCATTATAACTAATATGGATCTAATGTAGCAACATTTCTTGTTCCATGGAATAGAAATAGCTCACAGATGCTTTTAGGATGAAGAATCCCATTATCAAATCCAAGAAGAAAATAGATATAGTGGTTGTTGGTGACTCCTGGTAAGAACACAGAAGTCGTCCCATAAATATCTGACATGGCTAGTTTAGAGGGGTACTGTGTTCCTAGAATATGTACTGAGATTTGAGTCTTCCAAGACTCATTAAAAGAACCTACCATTTCTGTTGATTAATGTGGGAATCAAAGATACTTTGAGGAAAAAACCTAAAATTTATCCCTGATGACAGAAGAATTTGGAAGCAGAAACGTTATTCATTTCTTCTAGTTAAAGGCTGTGATTATGAACAAGAAAAGAAGATACGGGAAATGAGGTTTCATAGAATTCAAAAAGTAAAATATTTTCTGAATCACTGCTTAAGGGTACTAGTATGAATTACAAAGATAGAAAACATTTAGGTTTCTAAAAAGGCATTTGACAAAGTCTCTTACAATATTCTTGCAAACAGGAGAATATACTTGCTGAATAACCATTGCCAAGGAACATTAGACACACAGGATCAAAGATTTCAGCTCCTGAGAGATTTTCATTATTTGTGCTTGATTCCCCACTACCTAGCACTCAGTGCCTGGCACAGAGTGGACTCTTAATAAATGTTTGTTGATTGACTGACTAAAGGTCCTCAAGGTCAATCTCCTCATTTTACAGATGAAGAAACTGAAACACAGAAGACAGTTTATCCAAAGTGAAACTGTAGGAAGTGGAGGGACCAGGTTTCAAACCTAACTCCAGCACCAATATGCTCGCTATTGTACCACATAGCCCCTTTGGCATCAACTTGGAAGGTCTCTCATGATATTATACTACTTGATCTGTCCTTTTCAACATTAATAATGACTTTGATAAATACTGAAGAAATGCTGAGAAAATTTGTAAACTGTAGAAAGTTGGAAGTGATATCTAACATACTAGCTAAAAATTAAAACTGATAAATAATAAATAAAATAAATAAAAATAACAGAACATTTACATAGCGCTTTAATGTGTGCATAACACTTTAGACATCCCAATCCGCCTTCATATTAATCCTGTAATGTAAGTAGTTGGTATTAGTATCCCTTTTTTACTGAAAAGGAACCTGATGTTCACAGAAGTTAAATGACTTGTCCTTGTTAAATAATAACACAGCTAGTAACTCTAAGAAATAGAATTTGAACCCAGGTCTTCCTGACTCTAAGTCCATGCTGCCTGGCTAACAGAAGCAGGGTTCAAAATATAGAGTTAAATTTAAAATGACATGACTAAATAACAGTTCATGTGAAAGAAAATTAGGAGTTTTAGAGTGTTAGTTTATTGCTAGTTGCAATGAATCAAGAGTGTGATGTCAGTCAAAAAACTTAAGGCAAGTCTTAGGCTCCAATATTCCACAACAACAACAAAAAATGTTACCACTATTCTTACTCATCCAACACCTGGACTATCTTATTTGAAAGTTCATCCTCAAACCAATTTAAGATGGCCCTTAAGAAAATAGACCATTCCAGGAGAATTAAAGTCCCTGGAGGACAAGGACTATTTATTTTTGTCTCTATATTCCTGAGGCCTAACACAGCGCCTGCTACACTTTATGTTTTTAAAATTATAGAATCACAGAATTTGATAGGCAAAAGGGACCTTAGAAGCCCTGTAGCCCAACCAGTAAATGACGGAAATTCCTACTGTAACAGACCCTGACATGAGGTCATCTGATTTCTGCTTGAAGACCTCCAAAGAAGGGCAACCTACCATTTCCTGAGGCAGGCTATTCTACCTCTGGACAAATCTAATTGTTAGGAAGCTTTTCCTGACATCAAGCCTAAATGTTTTATGTTTGCAACTTCCACACATTGCTCCTGGTTCTGGCCCCTAAGGCCAAAGAGATTAAATCTAGTACTTCTTCCACATGACAGCCCTTCAAATACTTGAAGACAGCTAATGATCCCCTCCAGTCTTCTCCAGGATAAACATGCCCAGTTCTTTTAACCAATCCACATATGACATGGGCTCAAGACCCTTCACCATTCTAGTTGGCTTCCTCTAGGCATTCTCAGTTTATTCTTCTTAACTGTGGTGCCCAAAACTGAACCTGATATGCTTGATAAGGTCTTAAGAAAGCCTAACACAGTGGGACCATCACCGGAAGCTATGCCCTTCTTAATTCAGCCCAAGATGGAATTAGTTATTCTGGCTGGCACATCACACTGCTGAGTCATATTGAGCTTGAAGTCAGACTGTATTCTGCCTTTTTCAGATCTCATCTGAAATATAGGAGATTCAAAAATTATTTTCACTGAAAATTGCCCAAGTTGTAATTTTAGGAACTTATAAATGGATATTTGTGAACAAATTCACGAAGATATTCACCAACTTAAAATAAATGGAACTAAATACTGAATTGATTGGGGGAAATGAAGTGACAAAATTAACTATTAAGCAGCTTTATCTTCGAGGCCCTAATCCCTCTCTGAATATACACTTGTATTGTTTAAAGACAAATTACTTCCAACTCTTATTTTATAACTTCTAATAACTACCACTGCATAGCCCTAGAACAACTACAAGAAACCAATTTGGTTTAAAAGACAAAGCCAAACATACAACAGAACTTTTTTAATCAATTGGAAAGCATTTGTTAGGTGCCAATTATGTGTCGGGCATTTTATTAAGGCCAAAAAAAACCCCCACAAAAAATAATTTCCTGTCCTCAAGAAGCTTGCATGTGAATGGGTAAGACAACATGTAAATAAGTATTTACAAGAGTAGAAGGAAGGTAACCTTAGAGAGGAAGGCTAGGCTAACAGTGGCCAGGGGCTGGGAAGGCCTATAGAAGCTGGCATTTAAACTGAATTTTAACAAAAGCCAGACATATTCCAGAGGTAGAAGAGAGGAAGAGCATTTCATGCATGGAACCAACAGCCTCCTGGTCCCCTGGGTTTGTAACTTCAGTGTCAATTTCTACTTCTCCATTCTTACTCACCCCATGCATCCAAACTATTGCTAAGTCTAGCTTCTACCTCATAACATCTCTCATACAGAAGATTCCTATGGCACAACCAGCTCAAAATGTCCAAAAGACAGCTGGAGATGTGAGTTTGGAACTCAGATTCCCAACCTATACCTCTCTAGAGTGATGCTACTTGTATATAAAAATAAACTACCACAAACAAAAACA